GTCTTCCGCCGGTTCGATCCGGCCTACTCGAGAGAGCTCCTAACTCATGCTCGACAGGTCATACATTTGAGCCCGGTTCAATAATCATATAAGAAACCAATAAAGTAGTCGCAATTAATTGGTAGCAAATTAACTCGTAAGTCGTAACGCTTGCACATGATTAGCTATGTGACTTTTTTTTTTTTTTTTGCTATTAATTTTTCTTCCATTTTGAAAAATTGCAACGCTAAAAACATTCTAAGAGCATCTCCAACAGCTTCCCTATTTCTCTTTTTTGGAGAATTTAGTTAGGTTTTTGATCCAACAGATTCCCCATTTCATTCCCCAAAATAGGGATGGAGAAGAAAAGATGGGGAAGCTTCTTCAAATCTGCAGCATTCTCCAAATTTTTGGAGGAAAAAAAAGATTCTTCAAAATGGGGAAGCTGTTGGAGTTGGTGTAAAAATTAGTTAAAAAATATAACTTTTGCTTCTCCATTTTGGAGAAAATTTTGGAGAAGCTGTTGGAGATGCTCTAACGTTTCTCACACTAGTCATTCATTTATAATTGTTTTAAGAGTATAATAATACTGTAAAACTTATTCCCTCGTTGCAAACTCATATGAAAACGAGTTCTCCTTTAATTTACATTATTATGCACATGTTAGCTCTTTGTGCCGGGTCGGCCTAAGCTACGCCAGGAGTTCCGCTACCGTAGCTAACGGATCTGGCCGTTTGGATCACGTGGGAGCATTTAATTCTGTAATTTTTTTTTTAAATGACGTGTCGGCAACAAGTGACGAATCTACGTTTTCAGTTTTAGCCTAATATTTTGTACATATTTCTTTTCTTTTTTTTAACAGCTCTTCGAGTTTGCTGACAAATACCGGGGTAAATACGATGGCAGTATAAAGCCTGCACAAAAATACTACCGCTCTGTTAGTGGATACGGGGTAAGTACAAATTGCAGAACTATGCTACTTTTGTAATTTTCGTGCGCTGATCCAACGGTTGAGATTAACCGATGTTCTTTTTTTCCGGATAATTTGCTAATTGAAGGATGAGCTCTTGTGGGCAGCTGCGTGGTTGTATCAGGCTACAAATGATCATTATTACCTTGATTATTTGGGTAATAATGGCGATGAACTGGGTGGGACCGGGTGGCAACTTACCCAGTTCGGTTGGGACGTCAAATATGCTGGTGTACAAGTTCTTGCTTCTAAGGTGACACAAATCCCTTTGTTATTGCTCAATTTTGATCACCGGAACTTTGATTTTTGTGATTTTGGTATTAGTGATAAGAAGTTTAAGAATTTCCAATTAATAAGAGATCCATCAAGTCATAGAATGGAGCAAACTTTTTAGTAATAGTATAGTATATATCAAGATGTAGACATTATCGTCCCGAATCTAAACTTTTACTTCACAAATGAAAATCTGTATCCTTGAAAACGATGTTGATAGGCTTAACTATTTGAAATAATCATAAATCTCCCAGGCCATAAATATTGCACTACAGGCAAGGATAGATTTTTCGATCCGGAAAATTTAGATTTTAATTGACAATATCAAAATTATATCATGATGTTAGCTGCGAAAAAAATTTTAAAACAGTCTCACCGTTCCACTCGAAATTAAACCAACATAATCCTATTTTCTTAACAAATCGATCGTTCACTAATTGATGGCAATCTTCGTACAGTTCCTCCTACAAGGGAAGGCAGCTCAACATTCAGTCCGCCAGGACCAGCATCCAATGCTCGTCGGGAACCGCTATTGACCCGGAGGCCTGATTTACCGACAGAGGTGGAACAACATGCAATACGTGACGAGCGCCACTTTCCTGCTTACAGTCTACTCCGACTACCTTCAGTCCGCCAGGACCAGCATCCAATGCTCGTCGGGAACCGCTGCTCCTTCTGAACTCCTAGGCTTTGCCAAGTCTCAGGTAGCCATATATATCACTCTCCTGCTCCAAAAAAATTTAGACTATGGTCAGTTGCAAACACACCGGCCCCCTGTACTGTAGGAGTTAGTTGCTCATTGCTTTCGAACTTTCTGATAGCGCTTATGATGCCTTGATGTCCGAATGGGCTTTTCTGTCAACCTATGCGTTTGTATCCAAATGTCAGAAAACGCCCACAATTATCGGAAATCCTCCCTTAACTTTCAAAATATCAGAAGAACCCCTCTTTTAAGTATCGGGATTATCACGACACCAACCCCCCCTCCCTCCTCCTCCTTTAACTATCGGATTTTATTGGAAAATCCCCTTTAACTTTCATGTTATATCAGAAAACCTTACCAGGGTTTTTTGATAAAATCTCAAAGTTAAGAGGGAGTTTTCTAGTAACTCGTAAACTTAAAGGGGGTTTTCTAATATTTTCAAAGTTAGGGAGTGAGGTGCTCTGATAATCATCCAAAGTTAGGGATTTTTTTTGTATGATATTTAGCCTTTATATAAATAAGGGCCTCTTCGAAGCATTGACGTTATGTTATACCCGCATGATAACAGAGAAATAACTCTATTTAGACATCAGAAGATACGAGATACATATAGCAGAGGGCCTCTCTGCAGCACACGCCGTGTAATGTCCGCCTGACATTGTTGGATGCCAGGAGGTCTAAATGCTAATTCTGATTTTTTTTTTCTTTTTTTTTTTGCCCCCCTCTTAATTAAAGGTGGATTACATACTTGGAGAGAATCCGAGGGAGACAAGCTACATGGTTGGATATGGCAACACTTACCCTCAACAAGTCCACCACCGTGCATCCTCCATCGTGTCGTTCAAGGTCAACCCAAAATTTATACCTTGCAGGGTCGGATACGCTACTTGGTACAGTCGAAAGGCGAGCGATCCCAACCTCCTTGATGGTGCCATTGTTGGAGGTCCTGATGCTTATGACAATTTTGCCGATCAGAGGGATAATTATGAGCAAACTGAGCCTGCGACGTATAACAATGCTCCTATGCTTGGAGTATTAGCTCGTCTTGGTGCTGGTCATAGTGGAGATAATCAACTTCTTGAGGAGATTCCGTTGCCTGATAAACCCTTCACTCCTCCAGGTACTTTGATGTCTTGAAGTTTTCGATCATTTTTTGCTTTAATGACCTGAAGTTTAAATTTGTCCAAAAGACGCAATGAAATTTTTTGAGAAATAATTATCATGTGTAACTTATCGGAATATCAACCGTCAAAAATGGGCAAAAACCTAGATACTAAAGTGAACTATTGCAAATATGGCTTACGCCAATGAAATTTCGAATTTGACTAACTCAACTTCTGATGTAGGAACCAAATCAATTTCGCCGTTTGCGATTGAGCAGAAAGCAACAACATCATGGGATTTCAGAGGAACAAAGTACTACAGGTACTCCGCAATGGTTACCAACAAATCATCTAAAATTGCAAAGAACCTCAACATTTCGATATCAAAGTTCAATGGTGAATTGTGGGGGCTAACAAAGTCAGAGGATGGATATTATCCTACATGGGTTGAGTCGTTGCCTGCGGGTAAAAGCTTTGAGTTTGTTTACATCCACTCGGATACTCAGGCTGACATCTCGGTCTCTGGCTATACATTGATCTAAAATTTGTGCAGTGATACAACTATAAAGGGGTCTTCTTTTTTTCTCTCTTTTTTTCTGGTAAAGCATATTAAGAAGAATAATACGAGGGTTTGAGGAGGAAGCAGCGATGGGACAAGGACAGTTTGTTCATCCTCTTTCTTCTCTTCTCGCATTTCTTTTTGTATCGTTGAAATTGTAACCGAGAGGTGAAGGGTCATCTCAGCTCTTCCAATGAATGGGGTCTGTTTTTGTAACAATTGTTTTGCAGTAAACTTTTAGTTTTTTGTTCTTATTTGTCGAGTGAAAGGTAGTGGTTGTTCTAATTACTTCTCTATCCATTGTTGATCCAGATCACTCTTTCTCTTGAATGCAACAGTGAAGAACATGGCACTGGTTCCGTTTAAATTTGTGAAACTTGGAATAAGGTTGTTTTGGAAAGTTGGGCATACGAGGAAAAGCCAGAATTTGAGAGCAACGTACCTATGTTGAGAAAAATATAACACTAATTAAGGTATACAAGCACTACAAAAGCAAAAGCAGTAAGTCAACACTGGATAACATATAAATGACGAAACGGCAACGTACATAACATGCACGAATAATTTGAAGGAAAGAATCTCACACGAGAAGCGAACACTGAAAAGTTTCCGCCACTCAAATTTTAATGGAAGGGAGCTCCACAAGCACCCAGTTCGCATCATGATTTCTGCCACGGTTCAACAAATCAGTTGAAAAACCATTAGAAGTTAGAACCCTAGGGGTCTGGTAACAGAGATCACTAAGTAACCACCACAATGCCCTTGGCAGTCTTTAACACCATTAAAGCAGCTGCAGCCTAAGCGATGAAAAGGTCACATAACGCACGGATCATTGAAGAGAAAATGTAGTACAAGAAATGTAGTACAAGAAAAGAACAGCCGAAATTTCTGCTCCTGTAACTCGAAACGTCATGAAAAGAGGGATTAAGGACTTGAGCAATTTCTGCTCCACATCACATCGGTGTTTACTGAACAATTCAACAAATCAGATGAAAAGGCTTCAAAACTCGAGCAATTTCGCGAACACATCACTAGATGAAATAATGCCATTGGAGTCATTAACACCATCAAAAGAGCTGCGGCATAAGAAGGAAATCGGAAATCTCTCAGAGAATCCATAAACCCGTTATACTCTCAATATACTAAAAGAGGGAATATGGAAGGCCATTGTATTGATACTTCTTAAATAAGGACAACTCTTAACACCTTTCCATCCTTTCAGAGATCTTAATCCCCAAGAAAATTGGTTTAAGCCATAGCTTTCTTAAGCTAATAGCACCTTTGGAACCAACTACCTGGGACCAGACTCTGAACAAGGAGGGAAACTTAAAAGAATAGCACAAGCCGTTATTGTACTGCCGCTCTGCTTAATCTTTTTAGCTCGACAACAACTACAGTAATGTTGTCTCTACTACCTCGGGACATGGCAAGCTCGGCTAGGAAAGCAGCTGCTTCTGCTGCTGAACTCCCACAGAGCGCCTGAGGAAAAACCCTGGCTACCCGTCCTCTGAGACATTGTCTCGTGATCTTGCATGCAATTTCGTTGGAAATTACATCCCACAGCCCGTCACTTGCTAGTATGAGGAATTCGTCTTTGTCTGTTCGATTGGTAACTGTAACCTCAGGTTCTGAGATCACATACGGTTTCAGGTAGTAGTCCCCTACACAAATAGATGTTACTACATTATTGTCAAGACATTAAGAAAAGATGATAGTTAGAAACCAGCAACAATGCAATCATGATGACATCTGAAGATGAAGGCATAGAAAATAAAATAAATGGAAAAAAAATAGAACTTTAATGGTATAAAGGTTTGATAATTGGTAACTAGGTGGAAAGTTCAAATTCTAAACTGTTCCCGTTATTCCATCCAACCATGTCATGAAGGAGATAGAACACACAATCTAGTGCAGTCCTAAAGAATCAAGCGATATATTCTGTCCATTGTTGCTGTACAGATATTTGATAAATCATTCCCTTACAAATAAAATAGAATTGATGATGTAAATTATGTGCATGAACTAAAATATGCAAATATGAAGATGTTTAGTAGCATACTAGCAACTATTGGGGAAAGTGCAAGTAGGATAGCATACTAACTGCTTCATACCTATTGATCTAGAAGTCGCCAGCACTCCTAAGACGCGGTAACCACCCCAGTTAATAACTCGGCCACCAGCTGCTTCCACTCTCTGCAGCTCATCTGGTCTGTCAGGCTGTGCATAGATGAAGTTCTCTTTAATATCAATTTAAGAAGATAAGAAAACAAGGACAATAAAGTGGTTGAGAAGAAATCATTTTTCATTAACTGAAAATGAATGGAACACGAAGTAGAACCAACTATAACATTGCAGATCAATACATGAAGTGAAAATATATAAAAGATGAGCACCTCCAACAAATATCCAAATTCAAAAGCTACAGAGGTCATGAAAAATCCAATAAAATTCAAGTTATAAATATAAAAAAATAATGTAAACATGACAAAAGGAGACGATGCAAGTTAAACTGCAGATCTCATGCATAATGCTCCTTGAGATCTTGCTAAGTGGAAGAAACTGAGTGATGTGGCAGCATAAAAAATGTCAAGGATTACAATATGGGAAGAAGAAAAATTAGCTAATACAAATCTAATAACAAATATAAATAGTAGAATACAATTCCAGATACCTAGCCCCCACCAGCCAGGACCTGTGCGCAAATCAGATGCTATACTTGTCGCAATGAGTTAGCTGCGAGATCTGGACATTAAACTATCCTCTGCCAAAGATTCAATTTGTCTCGTACATGTATCGAAACTCATACAAATTAATTATTAATGGTATTACTAACACACTTCCACACCGTCCTTCTTAAACAATCACGAGTAGAATCACACAACAAAACTAACTAATGGAGGGTCTGAGGTAAGCTCCAAACAAGCTCCAAAATATAGACTTCACACATGCAGCATTTTACTAGGGTATATGGCTAGTCCATGTGAATCGAATAATGAGTAAAAATTAGAGGAATTGTTTTTCACACAAAAATAAGGAAATGACTAATAGGTGATCACTGCACACATCAGAATGTACTAACTATACTCGAGAAAATATCATTTAAATTTTATCAAACAATTTATGAAGTTTCCTTGGACTGTTAGTAACTGTGGTAAAGAAAATCAAATAGGTGTGCCACAAAAGCAATCTTTGGAATAGAGAAATTAATCATGGGGGAAAAATTCATGAGGCCATGAGCAAACAATTCCGCACGAATTCACATGGAAATGAGCAAACACCACATATATGCAGTCAAATGCTGGTGGGAATACTATATTGCATGATGCAACAAATTTAGGTGCACAACTGCATAGATTAACCCTCCTAAAAATAAATATATAAATAAATAAATAAAACATGAAAGCAATGAATTAGCCCTGTGAATTGGAATAAATTAAGCCAACTCATAATCGTAAATGTCTTGTTAGAGAAATTTGGTATATATGCCTCATAATTTTTTTGGAGGGAATTTATGCCTCGTAATTCGTATGCTTTAATTAAAATACCATCTAGAAGTGTCCTTTTCAGCCAGCCTTTGCTTTCTTCCCATGCTTCTAGTCTCTCTTGGTGAAGGTGGGAAACTGTCACCCTAGGAAACTTCTTTTTGCTTGGAGTCCTCAAGTGTGAGCACTCCTCTAAAAGTCTTTTTATGACCATTCTTATTGTGGGCTCATGCCCAGGCAACTTGTGAACCTAATCCAAATTAATTTAATTTAAAATTATAGGCTGTCCATTTAACCAAGGTAGCTTCTTCAAATAGTTCGACTATCATCCCCAGCATTAACAAGTACGCGACCAACTTAGCATGGATATAGACATATGGTATAAACATGTAAAATAAAGCAAAAGAAAATAATCAAGGTAATCTAAATGAGTAAATCTTAGTAGCCCCTCTGAATATTGGGGTGATTAGCGCAAAATGACAATGAACTTTACAAATTAGAGAAAACCTTCCTAAACTTTGAGGAGTTTCACAAAAAGTCCCCTGAATGTTGCGGCAAACTCCATGCAAGGGAAGAAAGAATAGAGATAAACAAGAGGAAAGTTAGGGTGCGAATTTTGTTTATGCTTTTACTGAGAGATTACTTTTAGAAGATGGTATTTCGATAGGCGAAACTTACTCGAAAGTTTTGGGGTGTGAACCTCACTGAAATTTAGGGGGTTTCCTCCAATGTTTAAAGGGCATGGTCCATTCTGCAAATCCGCAAAAGTTCAGGGGGTTTCTAAATTCCGCCATCTATAAGAAATATGCATAAAAGAGTAATAATTTGGACAATTAAAGGACATAGATTATTATCCTTATCATCAAATATGCAGTAGATTACTAGTTACTACATATTTGAGGAACCTTCTAAAATGAAGAATTACACTGCAATTTCTCAACTTGCTATACTAGCTAGAGCGCGTACACAAACATAGCTACCAACCAATAATGAACACTGCTTAAGATGCCAAAAACAGCAAGGTCAGGCAGTCAGGCATATAAATTATTTGTCAATAAAAGGTGATGCAGGATTAATTTCCTTGAGAAAAATAGATGGCTAGTAGTCTTTAACTACTTTTGTATAATTTTACATCATATGTTTCTCAATGTTTAACCTTACAGAATACTACTACAGTAATTATAGCCACCCAATCAGGTTCACCTCACTCATGATGCTCCTTGTCTTGCAGGTTGTTGTAACGTATTTTGGCTTGTTGGACGTACTTTGTGTTACAAGAGCCTGGCTTTCATTAAAAGCTTTTTACTTGGTCACAAGGTTTAGTTTGGCTTCCATCAAAAGCTTTTTAATTAATCACAAGGATTTTTTTCTATCATTTACTGCCAAAAAATATTTAAATAATAGTTCTACTCCATAGTACTTGGACGAACATTCTACTCAATGGTAGGGCTAGCTTGTATTTGATGGCAATGCCTGTGGTACAGTTTTCAAGATCAAGAAAGAAATTCCTTCTAGGAAAGAAATTCTATTTGCCCAAAGATCTAATAGCAAGGACCATCAAAATAAGAATTCCCTTTTCCCCCCTCATATTTACATTCTATGCCTTAATAGATCAGCTTCCAACAGCTTTATATTGCAGAGATAGATCTCTCCCCAACATAAGATAATTATCAACATTCTAAGAGTTGACCCGATATGCGTATGCTTAAACTGAAGCACTAAAAACTCGTACTGCACTAACCTTCAAAAGCTTTGCATGCTCAAGGAAATAGTATAACAACTAGAACGGGTTTATTTACATATAAACCGCCTTTAAAATAGGGTGATTATATGAAAACCACCTTCAAACATTTAAAGGGGGTTTCGCGTGCAATCAACCACCTTGACCTATTTTCTAATGAAGCTCTAACTAAAGTTTCGAAAATACCCTTAAAACACACACGTGTCAAGCACTAATTTTGGTTAAGAAGTAACGCGTGTGTTTTTAGTGGGTTCTTCGAGAAATTAGTCAAAATCTTATCAGAAAATAGGTCAATATGGTTGATTGCAATCAGACAACCCTTTAAAGATAATCTCCGTATAAATTAAACTCAGAAGGTGGTTTTCATAAAAAGGTGGTTCTTATGAAAAAGCCCCAAATAAAATACAATGTTGCTAGCCAAAAAGGATAGAATCCAATGCAAGGATAGTCAAGTATTTAATAGAACAAATTGTTGATTTAAACCCAATCTGATTTTTTTAAAAAAAAAACCGACCCGGCCTCTGTTTATTTACAAGGATCGACCCACTTCGCGGTCACGTCAGCATCATGACCGCGAAGTGGGGCGATTTTTTTTAATTGCCCTGGCTAAATAGTCAGGATTGTCAACGCCGACTATTTTGCTAATATACAAGCTAAATTAGTCAGGGTTAGTAACCCTGACTAATTTAGCTTGTATATTAGCAAAATAGTCGGAGTCGGGGTTGCCAACCCCGACTATTTAGCAACGAGTTTAAAAAAAATTACGCTCCACTTCGTGGCCGCAAAGTGGGATGATTTATTTTAATCTCGTTGCTAAATAGTCGGGTTTGCCAACCCCGACTATTTTGTTAATACACAAGCTAAATTAGTCGGGGTTGCCAACCCGACTAGTTTAGCTTGTATATTAACCAAGACGTGTAAAATAGTCGGGGTTACCGACTAGTTTAGCTTGTATATTAACCAAGGCGTGTAAAATAGTCGGGGTTGGCAACCCCGACGATTTAGCCAGGGCGATTAAAAAAAATCGCCCTACTTCGCGGTCACGATGCTAACGTGGCCGTGAAGTTGGTCGATCCTTGTAAATAAAAGGAGGCCGGGTCGGTTTTTTTAAAAAAAATTAGATTGGGTTTAAATCAAAATTTTGTTCGTATTTAATATGGATTTTATATATAAACATACAGGGATGGAACTTGGTAATGAGGTGTTTCATTCTCATCCACTCATTCAAATGGGGAACCACATTCACATGGATTGGAAAGTGAAAAAGAATGAGACACCCACT